TCAAGAAAAAATCCCATTTGATCTTTAATTCTAATTTAAAAATATAGGGGCACCTGGGTGGCTCAGTCGGTTGAGCATCCGACTTCAGCTCAGGTCATGATCTCACGGTCTGTGAGTTCGAGCCCCGCATCAGGCTCTGTGCTGACCGCTCAGAGCCTGGAGCCTGCTTTGGATTCTGTGTCTCCCTCTCTCTCTGCCCCTCCCCTGCTCATGTTTTGTCTCTCTCTGGCTCTCAATAATAAATAAACGTTAAAAAAATAAAAATAAATAACTAATATATATATATATACATACATACATACATATATATATATGACTTCCTTATTGGTAGTTCCTGTGAGGAAAACAGAAACAAAAAGATCAGTATACACAGTATCGCCCTGCTGGCCAGGCCTGTGCCTGTGGGACATGTGGGAACAGGAGCTGTGCCCTGGGTGCTCAGGAAGGCGCAGGCGCGCGGGGATGCAGCACCCCACACAGGCGGCCCTGACCCCCGCCTCATGCCTGCCAGCCCCTGCATTTGTCAGTTCCCTGAAACTAACTTCTCTCTCGCCCCTTTCATTTTTATCAACTGTTATAAACTACAGCCGCCAATACATGATCGATTCCAGGCTGAAACGTTTTTAAGGTTCTAGACTTCTGATTCTGTAAAACGAATTCATGCCTTATGTCATCATTCATGTTCCCAAGTCTGCAAAGATAAATTCACTTCAAATGAAGAGATATGCTCATTAGGTTCTATGAGATTCTGTCTGATTTATGGTCACCACTTACTAAAGCTGAGAACTGGTATTTCTAATGTGTACCTTCACCTACAGATAACTCAAGATGACACATCTCCTTGACAGGTGGAACTGGATCCAGCAATTTTTTTTGGTGACTCACAACCCAATGGATACACACCTGCTCTCAGAGGGCTTAGTGACTGTACTTTATGAGCTGGGTGATCAGTGAGGACCTGACACAGCTGGGCTGCTATCTGCTCCCTCCCAGGGAATGACCGGCAAATTCCCACCACCCTGCCCCCACCTTCACTCAACACTATTTCTATCAGATGTTGCTGGGAGGTTGAGCAAGGGTGTGGCAGGGGGAATGTGTGTCATGAAATCCAACATGACACCAGCACTCTGGTCACTTTCCCCCTTTGCCCTGCCTGCGGCCCTGTAGGGAAGGGGCCAGTCCTTCCTGTTTTTCAAGAGAAGCTAGAAATTCCAATTCCTATCTGAAATCTCCCAATGTTTAAAATTATTTTTTTCAACGTTTTTTATTTATTTTTGGGACAGAGAGAGACAGAGCATGAACAGGGGAGGGGCAGAGAGAGAGGGAGACACAGAATCGGAAACAGGCTCCAGGCTCCGAGCCATCAGCCCAGAGCCCGACGCGGGGCTCGAACTCACGGACCGCAAGATCGTGACCTGGCTGAAGTCGGACGCTTAACCGACTGCGCCACCCAGGCGCCCCTGAAATCTCCCAATGTTTAAATGTTGAGATCGATTCCAATTTTCTTTTTTTTTTTTTAACATTTTTATTTATTATTGACAGAGAGGCACAGAGCATGAGCAGGGGAGGGGTGGAGAGAGGGGGAGACACAGAATCTGAAGTAGGCTCCAGGCTCTGAGCTGTCAGCACAGAGCCCGACGCGGGGCTCAAACCCACAAACTGCGAGATCATGACCTGAGCTGAAGTTGGTCGCTTAACCAACTGAGCCACCCAGGTGCCCCCGATTCCAATTTTCTACAAACATTCTAGTCAACATAAAATATACCTCGGAGCCTCTACGCCTCCCTGGATCACATGTGACCTGGCTTCCCTGGAGAGCCCTCAGTGTGGCCCTGAGCAAGGCTGCTGGCTAGTGTTGACTCACCCACCTGCAGACCATCAGCCATCTCCAGGGGCCAGAAATGCTCTGCATTTCATGACCCATTCCCCCTCAGAGTCTCGGCTCTGCCAGAAATGGACTCCACCATCCTACAGTGTGTTTTACCGCACCAAAGTTTCCAGAATTTGCTGTAGATCGAGAAGTCTTTCCAAGGCTTCCGTTCTGTTTTATTTCTCCCTGGTGACAACTGCAGACATGACCTTTGTCAAACGATCACTCAGATTTCTCTGCAATGGGTCTAACTGTTCAGCACACCACCTCTCTAACCTCTTTCTTTTCCAAATCCAGGCTAAGTTTAAGCTGCTTTGCTTATATCTCCGTCAGCTTCTACATAATTCCTACATATCTGCCTCACTTGGAAAAGAACAAATTGCCTTCCATTTCATTTGATCACCCCTACAAGCCCATGTAATCTTTCCTCAGGTATTCTTTTATGTGCCTGGCTATTTACTACCAGCAGTTCCGCTGCTGTGGTTTTGCACACCACATCTTCAAACAGAAAAGTTATGCATGTGGCTTCTCTTAGCCAAGGAGAAATGCTTTGGGATAGAAGAAGAGATGGGGGCGGGGGGCGTGGAACTAAAAATCAACTTGTTTGACAAGTTATCTTGACCCCAAGTCAAAGAAACCGTTGCTGCCTTGTTCCCAGCATCTGGAGATCCCAGAGCTTAACTGTCCTGCAGGTCCTACCAGCATGCTGGGGGGCCCCAAGGCTGGCTACTGCTCACACAGCTCCTGTGGCATCCAGTCTGCTGTCTCGTCTGCCCATCCAATGTCACAGCTCAACCTCCCTCACTCCAGCTACCCACCTGTGAGTCCCAAGTTCAGACACCAACCGCTACTCACTCATCCCACACACTCAAACCCCCTTCAGGTCACCTCTCCCACCTGCCACCTCCAAATCTCCTCACCCAGCCCCACCACTAGCTCCTCCTGCCAAACCTTTGAGAATTGCTATTATTTAAATTTTTTATTAAATGGAATGGAAGAAAATTGCAAATCATTCATCTGGAAAGGGGTTAATACCCACAATATATAAACAACTCCTACAGCTACAACAACAACAATTTTAAAAGGGGCAAGGGAGGAGCACCTGGGCGGCTCAGTTAGTTGCATGTCAGACTTTGGCTCAGGTCATGATTTTGTGGTTGGTGAGTTCGAGCCCCACACTGGGCTTGCTGCTGTCAGTGCAGAGCCCGCTGTGGATCCACTGTCCCCCTCTCTCTGCCCCTCCCCAGCTTGTGCTCTCTCAAAAATTGATAATAAACATTTAAAAAATATAATAAAATAAAAATGGGCAAAGGATTTGAATGTCCCCATTTGACATTTCCCCAAAGCAGATGTATAAATGGCCAATATGCCCATTAAAAATATGCTCAGCATCACCAGCCATTACAGAAATGTAAATCAAAACCACAGTAAGATACCATGTCACATACATTAGGATGGCTACTATCCACAAACCAGAAAACGAGTGTTGGCAAGAATGTGGAGAAATCACAGCCCTTGTGCACTGCTGGTGGCAATGTAAAATGGTGCAGCAGCATGCTTCATCAAAAGAGGCAAACATAAGTTTACCATATGATACAGCAATTCCATTTCTGAGTACCATATATGCCCCAAAGAATTGAAAGCAAGAGCTCAAAGAGATCTAGGTACACCCACGTTTGTAGCAGCTTTATTCACAATAGCTGAAAGGTGGAAGCTGCAAGTGTTCATTGACAGATGAACCGACAGCCAAAATGTGATATATCCATACAATGGAATATTATTTTGCTTTAAAAAAGAAGGGAATTCTAACACCTCTACATGGATGAACTCTGAGGACATGATGCTGAGTGAAACGAGCCAGTCATAAAAGACAAATACTGTATGATTCCACCTATATGAGGCACGTAGAGTAGTCAAATTCATAGAGACAGAAAGTAGAATGGTGGTTGCCAGGGGCCTGGGGGTGGAGAGAGTTAATACAAAGTTTTAGTTTTGCAAGATGAAGAGTTCTGGAGATGGGTTGTCGTGGTGGCTTGCAGAATGACATGAATGTAATCAACACCACTGAGCTGTACATGAACAACGGAGAAGATGGCAGATTTTGTGCTGTATGTATTTTACCACAGTTTTTTTTTTTTTTCCTAAGGCCTCAAACAAACAAATGTAAAACTCTTCTAAGATATTTTACAAATGAAAATACCTCTTTGGTATTTGCTTATATATTCCTGTCTTAGTTGAAAGCTCTCATTTACCTGATAACCCTCCCTAACAAATAGCATGTGTCCAGTTTTTCTCACCCTTGTTTTCCTGCCTAAGTATTCATGGCTCTCATTTTCACTTTTAGAAACATCCAGGCTGGATGGTAAGTTCTGTGGCCATAGTCATCCTCCCAGGAAAGGACATCTCCAGGCTTTCAAGCCTCACCGTGTTTCTCCTTCCCAAGTCCATGCCACCTGCTGTCACCACCCCTGTCCCTTGCCATACTCATCATCACCATCATCAAGGAGCTCACCCCTCTCCTTTGTCACCATTTTGCCACCAAGACATGACTTTGACATTCAGGTAAATGACCTTCCTGACACCTGGCCTCAATACTCCTGACTGCCGTTATCCTCTCTCTGACCTCTCCATTCCAGCAACCATGAGCATGGCCCCAGCCAGGCCCCCAGACTTCAGTCTCCTCCCTCACCACTATTTTCCCTTCCCACTTACGAGCCTTGAGCACTCCAGATTCTTGGTCCATCCTGCCCCACCCAGTCCCGGGCTTTTGGGGCAGTTTGTTTCAACCATGCTCTCTTTAGAACCCCAGACTGCTTGTCCCTTCACTTTCGGTCACCCTTGCTCTTCCAGTCCCCAGGCATGGCTGAGGACATCCTTACCATGCAATCACACCATTACCATGTCAGTATAAAGGCTCATCCAGCTCAAACCACCCAGACTTCTCCTGTCTTCACCCCCCAGACAGCTCCCTCCTGCCTCTTTTCTAAAGAACTGCCTTTCCCAGAGTCTCTGGTCCTTGCCCCAATCACCTCCCTTCCCTCTGGCCTTCTCCCCAGAGATTACACCATTCCCTTATCTCACCAGTATTTATGTTCTTCCCTCTGCTCACCCCCTCCTACCCTCCTCCTACTCCCTCATCCTCCAAGGACAGCCCAAATACCTGCTCCTCCTTAAGGAATCCTTGGACTCCAGAGGCCATAAGGCACAGGGGTATCCCTAAACAACAGAGGTCAACTGTGGTGGACAGGATCTGAGCAGCTCTATCCAGAGGCATGCTCTGGCAGACTTAGAACTCTGCATCCAACATCAGAGGACAATACTATTCTCCAGACACATGGGACATTTTCAAAAACTGACCTAATACCAGGTCTAAAGCAAATAACTGATTTTCCCAAAATATCAAAGAACTGGTTTCATCAGGACAGCATAGGTCTCTGATCATGGAGCAATGATGTGAGACATGAATACCATAAAGAGGAGTTTAAAAATTCCACATGTTTGGAAATTAGCAAACACATGTATATATAACTCATGGATCCAAGAAAATATCATACTGGAAATTTAAAAGTACATGCAAACAGAATGAGTGACAATACTATATATGACAACCCATGAGCATTAATGACCATGACACTGGAAGGGAAGTGACAACTTTAGGTGCTCACATTAAGAGTTGACATGCTGAACATTCATGAGATTAAGTATCTAACAAAAAAGTTAAAAAGAAAATAAATTAGAGGGCACCTGGGTGGCTCAGTTGGTTGAGTGTCCAACTTCAGCTCAGGTCCTGATCTCACAGTTTGTGGATTCGAGCCCCATGTCAGGCTTTACACTGTCAGCACAGAGTCTACTTCAGATTCTCTGTCTCCCTCTCTCTGCCCCTCCCCTGCTCATACTCTCTCTCTCTTAAAAATAAATAAACAATAAAAAAATAGAGAAGAAAAGAGATAATAAAGTTAGGATAACTCTATAAAACAGCAAATAATTTTATAATAATGAGACTAAACCAAGCCAATAGTAGTTCTTTAACAATCTAGCAGGGCGCCTGGGTGGCTCAGTGGGTTAAGCATCCGACTTCAGCTTGGGTCATGGTCTTGTGGTTCACAAGTTCAGGCCCCATGTCAAGTTCTGTGCTGACAGCTCAGAGCCTGGAGCCTGCTTCGGATTCTGTGTCTCCCTCTATCTCTGCCCCTCCCCCACTCGTGCTCTGTCTCTCTCTCTTGCTCTCTCTCTCAAAAGTAAATAAAAACATAAAAAAAAAACCCAATCTAGCAAGATAGGCCCCATGACAACACTGATTAGTAAAATGAGAAGGCACAAATAAGTAATATTATAAATAAAAACAGAGATACAACTAAAGATAAAGCAGAGAAATAAAAATAATAATAAGGAAACACTATCAATGATGTTAAGCTAACAAATCTGAAAATATAGACAACAAGAACAAATCTTCGGGAAATTATAACTTAAGAAAACTAACTAAAGAAGAAATGCTTATAGGACTAGTCAGACTTTTCATTAAAGAAACTGAAGCACTAATTAAATATCTTTTCTCTTTCCCACAAAACAGGTCTAGATAATTTTACAGGTAAGCTGTACCAAAATGTCAAGGTGTAGATAATCCCAGTCTTGCATAAACTCTTCCAGAGAATAGAAATGGTAAAATCTAATGAGGCTAGATTATCCTTAATATTGCACCAGACAAAGACAGTATAGGAAAAGATTTTAAGTTCATTTTGCCCATAAATATAAAAGCAAAACTCTTAACTAGAATATTAGAAAACCAAATTCAGCAGTGATGAAAGAAGATAATCCACCATGACCAAGTTGAGTTTATTCCAGAAATGCAATGGTATTTTAACATTAGAAAATCAATAAATGTAATTAACTATATTAACAAATTAGAGATATAGGAAAATATTTTGATAAAATTAAAAACCCATATAATGAAAAGCTCTCAGCAAGTAGAAAGAAGAGAGAACTTCCTTAACCTGTTAAAGAGTTATCTGCAAAAAAATACATAGCAAATATTAAGCTTAATATACTGAAACCATTCCCTGTAAAATCAAGAACATAATCTATGATCAATGCTTTTACTGCTCATTATACTGAAGGTCTTAGCCAGCACCACCAGCAGTAATTAAGTAATCAGCTTAAATATTGCTCAGGAAGAAACAAAGCTAATGTTATTCATTGGTGAAATGACTACATAGGAAACCATAATATCTATAGACAAATTATTAGAAAAAACAATGGCATTTATAGCAGGGTGGCTGGATATAAGGTCAATATAAAAAAAAGCCAATTGCATTTCTATATACCAGCAATAGCTGTTAGAAAGCTTAAGGTATCTATACATTTAACAAAAGATGTATAAGTCCTGTACATAGTAAATTATTAAACTTTACTAACCTATATTAAAGGAGACCTCAATAAACAAATAAACATACCATATTCATGGATATGAGGACCCCACATCATAAAGATATAACAGATGTATCAAATAGACTTATATATTAAATAAAATTTTAGTCAACAGAGTTTTTGTTGAGTCAACAGAGTTTTTATTTGTGAAGCTTGTCAAATTGACTCAGTGTTAACATGGAAGAACAAAGGGCCAAGAATAGCCTAGATATGCCTGAAGAAGAGTAATACTTGCTCTACATGATAGGAAGCCTTATTATAAAGCCACTGTACTAAAGTTTGTGAGACATTGTGTCCAAGACAGAAAAATTAAACCCATGGAACAGAAAAGAGAGACAAAACCCATGCAGATACAAACTTGATCTATGATGAAACATGAATGGTGAAAGGAGGGACTTATCACCTGATGAATCCATATGAGAAAAAAATTAAATCCTTACTTTGCATCAAACACAAAAACAAATGTGAGCTAGATTAAGTACTTTTAAGTGTGACAAAACTAAAACTTTTAGAACATAGGAAAGTGGGCCAGATATCTCTATTTGCCACTCTAAATCTACTTTCCAACTTCCTCTACCTGGCTCTCTGCCCCAGGAATATGGACTACATCAGTGGGTTCCTTTGATCTCTGGCTGTGGATTGGCTTTGGCAATGAAGCACCCTGGGAAGGTATCAGAGGGAAGGCGGAGGAGAGTGAAGCTGGCTTATTTACTCCCCTGACACTCCCTACAGGGTTACTTCAGACTGGTTTTGTCTCTCCCCGGAGATCACTGCTCAATACAGTCTCTCCTTCTCTCTCTATTCCTTTGGGTCCAGAGGATGGGAAAAACTTTGCTGTTAATAACACCCGGTGATTTCTTCAAACTCTGCCCACACCTTTGAAAAGAGTTAATCTACCTATTAACCCTCTTCAAAGTGCCCTAATTTGAGTGTGTCCTACCGATCTTATTGAGACCCTCATTGATAATGTCATTGTTACTGGAAATGGTCTTAAAATAGATCCTCAAAATTGGATTCTGGGTTTGTCCATATATTACAAGAGCACTGGGATCATCACCTTGCTGAGGGCAAGGGTGTGTGTGTGAATAAAGATAATGCACAGCATGTGGATTATATGCAAATCCAGAGCGTTCATGATTACACATAATGATACATGAGAATGAGGTGCAGGAGGAGGGTGAGGCATGGGGAGAACAGGGAGTGTGGCAACAGCAATTGCAAAGGTGGTAAGGTTAGGTAGATTCTGTGTATGGCCCTACAGAACATATATAGGGGGAAAAGAGAAGCTAAAAACAATCAACTAAGAACACATATGGAGAACCAGATGGCTCCCATGGCAGCCCCAGGGTGTGATTTTAAGGTTCCGGAGTCAAAAAGCTGTTGAAATGCTCAACAGTCCCAGGTCTCTTACAATGAGGAAAGATGGGGAAGAAGTGGGCCCATCAGGCACAGCTAGACAATGGCTGCAACAGAGAACTCTGACCTCTTTTGTCTGTATAAACAACCTTCCCACCATATGTGAGAGAGACCTCTGGGAAAAAAAAAATGGCTGCTACTGGGCCACTGTCTCACAAGCTGGGGCCCTTTTTCCACAGGACCCAGCCCACATCTCTCACTGCCCAAGCCCACAAAATGAGTTGGATCCTAGAAGTCCAGCATCAGCTTTGGAAGGAGAGGGCTGGTGTGTCCTGCAGGAGCCTGGAAAATGTGGAGTAAATTCGATGAATGTACAGGGAAGGAGGAGGTTATGTAAATAGCCCAGATCTGGCCAAATTTGAGGATGTGGGTGCTTTCCCCACAATCAGATTATTTCATGCGTAACTCAGATATCTAGGAGGTGTTTACCATCTACAAGATTGGCTAGCCGACATCAAGAATGAACAAAAACCAATAGCTGGTAAGGTCAACCTGCTGGAACTTCCTGATCCCTGTGAAGCAATGGCTCTCCAAGCTCCAGCAAGCACTGTATGCCCTGGAGGGCCTCTTAAACCCCTGTTTCTGGGCTCACCCTCAGAGTTTCTAATGACGTAGGTAGGTAGTAGGGCCCAAGAATTTGCATCTCTAATATGGCCCTAAATGGTGCTGCTGGTGGTGGTCAGGTGGGAATTGGGAGAATGAGAATGTTGGAGGGATCTGCTATGTGAAATCTCCTAAGCTACCCCAACAAACTTGACCAAGAAGTTGAGGATGCCCGGGGAAGGCATAGCAGCATTCCCAAAGAGCTCTGCGGTGGTTGCCCTCTCTATCCTGCGGATAACCAAGGGATGTTCTAATGGCCCTGGGTCCCTTCCCTACTGTCAGTGGGAACCATGGGATCCTAAGAGGTAGAGACCAGTGGCAGGTACAACTGACAGAGGCAAGGAGAATAGGATGCAATGCTAAATATAATTGATACGCTTAAGTGAGGAGATAAGATGAAAGTATCTAAAGGGCCCCATTATAATCAGAGAAGGTAGAAAAGCAGGAGTGGGGAACAATTGCAAATAGAAAACATGGCAGAAGGGGTGCCTGAGTGGCTCAGTTGGTTGAGCGTCTGACTTCAGCTCAGGTCATGATCTCACAGTTCATGAGTTCAAGCCTCGCATCAGGCTCACTGCTGTCAGCCCCCACACCGGGCTCTCTGCTGTCAGCGTAGAGCCCACTTTGGATCCTCTGTCTCCCTCTCTCTCCTCCCCTCCCCTGCCACACACTCTCTCTCTCAAAAATGAATAAACACTAAAAAAATCATGGTAGATATTAACTCAATGTTATCAATAATCATTTTAAATGTGAATGTCTACACCAATTAAAAGAGAATGAAAGAATAGATTTCAAAAAAAAAAAAAAAAACCACACAATAGCTTTTGTGCTGCAAAGGGCACCATCAAGAAAGTAGAAAGACAATCCATGGAGTGGGAGAAAATATTTGCAAATCACATAGTTGAAAAGGGACTCGCATGTAGAATATATAATAATAAAAGACAAACCAATTATATATGTGGACAAAAGATCTGAACAGATATTTCACTAAAGAAAAATTACAAAAGGCACATGAAACAAGCACATGAAAAGATGCTCAGCAACATTAGCTATCAGGGAAATGCAAACCCACTAAGATGGCTACAATAAAAAAAGACGTAATAATAAGTGTTCATGAGGATGTGGAGAAATCGGGCCCCCATACACCACTGGTGAGATTGTAAAATGGTGGAGCCACTTTGGAAAACAGCCTGGCAGTTTCTCAATAGCTCAAACATTGAATTACCATATGACTCAGCAATTCCACTCCCAGATATAATCCCAGAGGAGTAAATATATACATGAATGTTCATAGCAGCATAATTCATAATAGCCAAAAAGGTGGAAACAACCTCAATGTCCATCAATGGACAAACAAAACATCTATATACTGGTACATCCACACTGTGGAATGTTATTTGGAAATAAAAAGAATGAAGTCCTTGACAAGTTACAAAATGAATGAACCTTGAAGACACACTAAATGGAAGAAGCCAGTCACAAAAAAGACCACCTATTGTATGATTCCATAATATGAAATGTCCAGTATAGGCAAATCTATAGAGACAGAAAGTAGATTAGTAGTTGTCTGGGGCTGGGGGAATGGGGCAGAATGGGGAATGACTGCTAATAGGTCTGGGGTTTCTTTCTGGGGTGATGAAATGCTCTAAAATTGATTGTAGTGACGGTTGCACAACTGTGAATATACAAAAACAAAACAAAACAAAAAAACATTGGATTGTATATTTAAAAATTTTTTTAATCTTTATTTTTGAGAGAGAGAGAGACAGCAGAGTACGAGTGGGGGAGGAACAGAGAAAGAGGAAGACACAGAATCTGAAGCAGTCTCCAGGCTCCAAGCTGTCAGCACAGAGCCTGATGTGGGGCTTGAACTCATGGACGGCAAGATCATGACCTGAGCCGAAGTCAGATGCTTAACCGACTAAACTACCCAGGTGCCCTGGATTGTATATTTTAAATAGGGAAATCATATGGCATGTGAATTACAATTTAATAAAACTAGTATAAAAAAAGAGAAAAGATAGATAAAGGTTAACTCTCCTATTTAATCAGAAGACACCTATACAAATTTTTTAAAAAATTCACAAACTGGAAAATGCTATTTCCATACTTGTAACTGACAAAGGGTTGGTATTCATAATATATAAACACAGTCATCCCAATTCTAGGCAAGTACCCAAGAGAAACTCTGGTATATGTGCCCCAGAGGTCATGTACAAGATTATTCTTAGCAACAACATTCTTAATAAAAATCACACACATTCATGGCCAGAAGAATGGACAGATACATTGTGACTTGTTGGCCAACGACTATTGTACAGCAGTGAAAATAAATGAACCAAAGTTAAACAGGGTGGCTACACTGTGGCTGAGTCTTAGAAACATGACGTTAAGTGAGCAAAAAAGCAAGTCCCGGGCCACATGCACACATACATCATTTTTATAGAGCTCAAAAACAAAACTGAGCAATACATCATCTAAGTGTATCTATAACACCTGCAATCCATGCTCCATTTGGACAGGGGAGCAGGACAGGTGGTGGCAGGGTGGTATTAATTAAACAACAGGCCATTAGACTGAGGTGGCTCTAATTCCTTAGCAGCCTATATAAGCAAGCCAAGACCTAAGCCTGTAAATGCCTCAAGGCAAAGAAATCAAAATCCAAGGACAGCCAATCACAAACAGCCAACAAGGCTTTCCCCAAACACGGCAACCACTTAAGCTACAGCCAATCAAATCATTTCCTTGCTTTACCTGGGTACCTTCTTCTCTCTTGCTCTGTCAGCAGGGCACTCCTAACCACTTCCAGTTTGATGCTGCCCGATTCAAATAGACTTGTGCTCAAATAAATTCTTAAAAATTTTAATATGCCTCCATTAATCTTTTAACAGTGGTTAAGGCAGAGGAGAAATATATAGGTAATATTGATGGTTGTCTAGTTTCTGCACAGGGTGGTGGCTTCACAAGGGCTATTATTGTGCTTTTTATAACTGACACATATGGGAACTATTTTATATGTGTCAAATAAAATGCTTCAAAGACAACGAAGGAGAAATAACGTGTGTCGTCAGCTCCGGTTCTGCCATTCCTAACCTGAGTAACTCCGTAACTTCTATGTGCCTCAGTTTCCTCATCTGTCACTGGGGACAGAGAGTCAGGGAGAGATACCTACTTTGTGGGGTGGCTATAAGGAGTAAATGAGAGTTTCTAGCCCAGTAAAAGTTTACCATCCTTTTCACCGTCACTATCATCATCATAATCATTATACCTATCATCGTCATCCTCACCATTCTCATTGCCATCATTCTCCTCCTCCTCCTCCTCCTCTTCCTCCTCACTGTTTTCTGTTGCGAAATGGAAATGATCTCTCACTGCCGGGTCCTACAGTGTCACTTGCATCACATTCTGCTGGTATATGGTTATTGGTGCAGGCATCTCCCTTGCTAGAGAGCAGGGGATGGGACTAGCTGGCCTGTCTTGGTCTCCTCTGCATTTCCCGCAGCAGCCAGGTCAGGGCCTGCCCCTCACAGAATTGCTGCTTAAGCTGAGCCACATTAAGAGTCAATGACTCTCTTGCAATAACACAAAGCTCTCTCTTCTCCCTCTCCTTCCTGATCATCCATAAGATAGTGGAAGCATACTACAGTCAGTGTGATGTGTGGTTGGCTGATGCTACCTCTATTTTCAACAATTTCTCTGCTGCCCACCTCTTCTATAGAGGTTGTAGAATCTAAAATCCTGATATCTCAGACTGCCTTGAAGCTAGCATAGCCACAGACATAGGTCTGCCCCATGAAATGTCACCTCTCTGGGGGAGGTGACCCTTCCTGAATAAAAAGGTAGAAAGACCTTTTCTACCTTTTGACCCCCAGCCTTGCCTGGAACTTGAACATGAAGCCTGAAGGTGCATCAACCACCATGCTGTATGGTCACAAGGGCAGAGACCTGAGTGTGGTGGAGTAGCCAAAGACATCACCAGGCACAGCACCAACCCTGGAGGACCCATTTCCAGACCTGCTGTGTGAAAGAACCGACCCTGGCCACCACCTTCTGGTTTTGCATCTGAATGCATTCCTTTCTACCATCTGACAATGCTTTGAAATTGATGGCGCAGGGTGTATTATTCCCCAGCAGAATGCATGCAAAGTATCCACTCTCAGAGGAGGGAAGGGGGCTTTTAGATTACTGATTAAATTAGATTGCAGCAATCTGACCATTCCAAATTTCAGTTCTCACATCCAAAGGCAGGCTGTGACTCCAAGACTCCCTAAGTACCCAGCCTTCCACAGGTCCACCAAAATCCAATATGGAACCAACCCAGGCAAAATGTTAGGGAGAGGGCTGTAGGGGGTTCTTATAAATGTGGGCAGGTGGCCACAGCATGGATGGTGTTAGACATCCACACGGGGGTGCCTGCACAGAGTGTCTGTCACGCAGGAAGGCCCACTTCCAGTCTGCCCTAATAATGACTGACCCCTTTAGTTACACAGAGGCTTAAGTCTACACTGTGATACAACAGCCAGATGAGAACACTATTTGGGTAATGATCATTACATTCATACTTTACAGATGAATATACGACTTGACATCCAGAGACATTAAGGGACTCGCCAACCGTTGAACAATTTGTATACAAAAGCATTGGAATTAGAATCCGCCCCTTCTAATTCGTAAGTCTGTATTTTTGCCACTGGCTCTGTCTGCAGGAGGCACCAGGTCAAAATAGCCCTATAAAATGAAAAACATGCATGTCTTCGTACATCATGGGGAAATTTGGCTATGATGGGGGGAGTAACAGAAGAAAAAACAATCCATCTCCTGCCTTCCTGTTTCCAGAGTCCCATTATGACTCTGGCTCATTTAATTAGGAGAGTCAGTGTTCTGTGCAATCCATCCTGAGTGATGCCCAGACTAAGTAAAGTTTGGAAAAAGCATAAAAATCCAGCATCTCCAGGCACACAGCTCTCCTTTGGGAATGAACGTGGACATGTGTCAGCTGTAATTAATAGGCAAATGCACATTGTAGAGAGCTGCCCCAGGCTCTATCTGGCCACGTTCAGGCAACAGACTACTCCTTCATAAGCTTTACGTGGCTCCCAGATGCCCACATAGGCTAACCGACACGCAAAGTTGCACTTAATCCAAAGTTTTATTTCATGTATCCTCAAGAGAGGATCATGAATTAATTCCAAGCAAGAGGGCTCTCTTTTGCAACAGTGGTGGTGGGCACAAGCCCAGCTGAGCTTGCCAGGGAGGTGGAAGAGCTGAGGAGGGCACCTTGCGCGTGCTGCCAGCCACAGTGGCTACGGGCCAGGCACCTCGCTGGGAGCCCAGGAGCACGCTCTGCAGCCCGGGATCTCCTGGTTTGTAAGCCATGGTTCATTGCTTCTTTCTTGGCCTGGCTTAACTTCTGCCCTTTCCATCTTAAACTTTTCACATCAGTGAATCTTCTCCCGCAAAAAAAGATGAGAGGTAAAACAAACACCCTATCTGCAATCTTCTCCACGTCCCACCTTCGACTAGCTCTGATTTCCTACTTTAAAAATAGACAGTGCTTTCCTAGTCTGTCTCCAATGCCTGACATTGAAAGGACGTGTTATTTCCCTCCCTTTTGGTATTAATAATCACCACGATGATAATATTATTAGCATTAATATGCACTGAGTGTCTGCTTCGGGCCTGGCGCTGTTCCAAGCATTTGATTGTTGGAGGTGCTGATAACTTCCATTTTGCAGTAGAAAGAGCTGAGGCACAGAGAAGTTCAGCTACTGGCACCTTCTTTCATGCCTTGATGCACTCAATTTTCATCTTGGAAGGTAGTTCTGTTGCTCTCTCTTTTGCATGTGTGTTTTTAAACTCCTTACTTTAAGGAATCCTCATTCATTCATCAATGCATTCATTTGAAAGTGCTTGTTTGAGTCCAGCCTTTTTTTTTTTCTCTCTCTCTCTTTTAAGTAGGCTTTCTGCCCAGTGTGGAGCTTGAACTCCTGCCTTTCTAATGTAAGTGGCTATTTACTTAGTGTCTTGTCCCATTAATGTGTTATCACAGGAATCAAAAATCTCTCTTTATAGGCAGGAAGACACAGTACTGGCTGCCGGAACAAAGCAGGCAAATGATGTCTATTTACATATTTTATCATATTTAATACATTTTATTTTGCCAACTCTTCTTAACGCATATTAAGTATTTAATTAGTTTGATTTCCTTTTACAACAGTGACATTTTATTTATTTGTCTCTATAATGTAATTAGTATAATCTCTGTCTCTGTTTTCCCCTGGAGTCAGTGTAACACTTTCTCCTTTTCATTATGAAATATTTTATGTTTCCTTCCAAGTTCTCTCCTAACAAAGTCCTTATTTCAATTCACTTTCCCTGTACAGTGTGCTTGAAGACGATTTTATTTCAGAAAAATGTCTTATCTTCCTCTCGGTCCTAAGACTTTCTTATTTTGCCATTGTTCCCTATTTTAGCTTAACGTCCTTTTATTTCTATTATGTGTTACGTGTTCCAAGTTTTATATCCCCTGGCATTCATTTTAATAGAATTAGGAGAATCTATAAATAAAAGCAGCTTCTCAGAATAATGCTTTCATTCTTTTCCTCTCTCCCTACCCCCAACTTCTCACACATGCCCTAAATTTACCAGCAGACCAGGAGCTTCATCTCCCAGGCAGGATTTCTCCCACAGGAACTCTGATGGCCGTTGTCTCTGCTGCAGATGGTCTGGGACAGCCCCCAGGTGACACAGGGGTAAGACTCCAGCTTAGGACACCCACCCATGAGGACTCTGTACGGAATGGGTGCTATTCCTGCCCTCCCATTCGGCAACATAAGAGGGGCTGAAAATTCTACATAAAGTCAATAATTCAAATCCTGGAACTAGAAAACCACTGCCGAGCAAGAAGAGAAGATAATTAGCAGGCAAGCAACCCAGACTACCAGGGCTGTGCCAGGGGTATCTGCTGCAGGCTTATCTTTCCTCTGCAGGAAGGTCCTTAAACTGCGGGACTCCACTCATTTACATTTGCTGGGCTGCTTCTCCCCAGGGCTGAATCTTTCTGTCCCTGGAAAACTAACAGCCTAGGGGTTCAGGGAGCCACAGTACTCCTTTCAGATGCTAGTGTGACCAGAACACACCTTACAAAAGCATTTACTGCCCCCCCAAGTCAGAGTCTATGGGGATTTCTTGGATGGCATCATTTGCCCCATTATATGTCTAGGTTTTTAATCTTCACCTCCAAACACAAACTTATAAGTATGTCTCTAAGGACAGTGGATTTCTCCCAAATCTCTCCTATCTCCACCACTACCTTCAGAACCTTTTTCTTCTAACATTTTAGTATGCAATTTTTCAAACATACAGCTGAGTTGAAAGAACTATACAGCAGACACCCACATACCCACCACCTTGATTCTACCATTAACATAATTACTGCAATTACTCTATCACATTTCTCTTCATCTATCCACGTCTCTCTAGCCATCTGTCCATCTGTCTTATTTCTGGTGCATTCCAAAGTAAGTTGCAGGCAGTATCAATATACTCTCTCCCAAAATGCTTCAACATACACATCATTACAGAGAGTTCAATATTTGCTTATGGATTTCTCCCTTTGAAGTAAAGTTGACATATGATGAGATGAACAAATGTTCATTATATATTTGTTGAGTTTTGATAAATGTATATACCTATGTGATCCAAAGCCCTATCAGGAGACACAACATAGCCACCACCCCCAGAATGTTTCCCCATGTGCCTTCCCAGTCCCTCACTCCTATAGATTAGTTTTTATTCTGCTACAAGTTGGTTTTACCTGTTCTAGAACTTCCTGTAAATGGAATCTGATAGCTTTTTGTGCAAGGCTTCTTTTACTCCATATTATGTCTATGAGTTTGTCCCTGCTGTTAGGCATTAACGATTGTTTGTTCTTCACTGCTGAGTAAAGAGGGCCCATTGTATGAGTACGTCACATTTATTTACCCATTCTCCTACTGATGGACCTAAAGAACTTAAAAAATTATGATAAACACGGAACGCCTGGTGGCTCAGTTAAACATCTGACTCTTGATTTTGGCTCAGGTCATGATTTCATGATTTGCAGGATCGAGCCCCATGTCTGGCTCTGTGCTGTCAGCATGGAACCTGCTTGGGATTCTCTCTCCCTCTCTCTCTGCTCCTCCATGGCGCGTGCTCTCTCTCTCTCTCTCTCTCTCTCTCTCTCTCTCTCTCTCTCTCTCAAAATAAATAAATAAATAAACTTTGGGAACTTTGTAATCCTCTCTGGGGGAAAAAAACCAAACAGATGCAGCACTTCCGATTACAGAAAAACCAACAGGGCAATAGACAAACTGGGGACATGTTTGGGTCAATGCAAGTACTTGTTGGTTTGATTATCTAATCCAAGCACCATGACCTTCCAGGGAAGCCACAGCACTGGCTCCTCCTGGCCACAGGAAGGCCTGGTCATAGCAGTCAACCCTTTGTCTTCTGCTATGGAAGGCTCATGCAGAAATCAAACTGGGCTCAACACTAAGGAACCTCCCCAGAAGACCTCAGGACACAGGAACACCATTTGAAATGGACTGGGAAGGTTCAGCCAGATGTCTGTTCCTATCCAGCTGCATGTATCATCCTGTGATCTTTTAACCTCATTTTTGTGCCCACAGTACATGCAGAAACACAGCCCTGCCTTGAGACTTGCGATTCAATTCCTGCAGCCTGACCACACAATTCAAATAAGATGTGGATGATGAGGGGAGAAAAGTGGCAGAAAGTGCACAAACATGTTTCCTCGGGCATGGGGGTTGGGGGGGACTCTCTTGATGGCAGCAGCTGGTCACTGGGAGACCCCCCTGAGGAGGTCAGCATGCAGGAGCAACCGGGAAGGAGGCTGGGTGGCTGCCTGTCAGGAAGACGAGGCCAGGCTGGCACAGCTCTCAGCACAGACCAAGTACAAAGCACTGTAAGTGACTAGCTGCAGGAAAGGAACCAATTGTTGGAAAGAAAAACCAACTTTCAGTCACCCAAACCAATTGGCTTGAAGATAGGATTTTCTGTCGTTTTATGCAGCCATTGAATTTCTGACATAAGGGAAAAACAGAACCCAGTCCAGTGCTCTTTGTGAGTGACTACCAAAATGGAAAGTAGAGGGGTTCTCCCAGTTAGGTTTTGGATAGGTACTTACTTAGAATAGGAATGCTGTTAAGACACAGCTCATCACACAGGGCGCCTTGGTGGCTCAGTCGGTTACGTGTCCGACTCTTGGTTTGGGCTCAGGTCATGAACTCACGGTTCATGAGTTCGAGCCCCGCATCGGGTTCTGCACTGACAGTGCACAGCCTGTTTGGGATTCTCACTCTCCCTCTCTCTCTGCCCCTCCCCACTCACCCTCTCTGTCTCTCTCTCAAAAATAAACTTATAAAAACAAAACAAAAGACGTGGCTCATCATGATGTGGGGTGGTCAGTCCCGCCCCCCGACATGAGCCTTACAAAGATGGTCTTCTGGACTTTGCTAAGTCTCTACCTCTGGGGTTTTGTTTGGATTTGAAGACTATTTAGCGTGAGAAGGAATCAATTTGGTTTTACAACGTTCCCGGTGTGGTCAGATATCAGAGGAAGGTAGAAAACCACGGTCCTTATAAAAGCAAACCCCACCCCCACCTGGCCCTGCAAAAATAATCCTAGAAACTCGTCCTAACGAGTTCGTTTTGTACAAGAACACGAAACTCTGCGGGAACAGAAAACATTCATTCCCACAAATGGGCTTTTGCATCCTGTGCTCCAACGAAGGGTTGTGGGGGTCTTGAATTGGCAAAGCCGTGGTACATAAACTTGTTTAAGCCCCTGAAATCTTGTCCGTGGCTAATAGTGTCATATTCCTGCAAATGAGAAATTAAAAGACGTTTGTCAAAAGACTGTTAATGAGCTCAGTCATGAACAGTTACTTTGATAGCCGGCTAGAAAGGTTTCTTTTTCTTTTTACAGAAATTAGCTTTGTCAAGAGGAACACAAATAAGGGGTTTTTTGTTTGTTTGCTCAAGTCTAAGAAAACAGCGGAAGATCAAGATGTGTGTTAGACGGCGCGCAATGGTGGCCAGAAGGGACTTACTTTTCCGTGTTAAAAGTCTGTCCTCTGACAGACACACCTAAATAAACTCCGGCTGGAACAAGGAGGCACAGATCCAGGTACGTGGGGTCTAACAACCGCGAAACCGCACGCCTCTGCTGTGACCCTCCTAGAGGACACGTGGAAGGCTAAAACTGGCGCCGAGGCACACATCGCTGGATGCGAAGCCAGCCCAACGCATCTTGCAACTAGGTATCTTGCGCAGCGCCAGGCTTCAAGCCAGCCCCCAGATGAATTCCTGTCTCC